GGGGCAGTTATCAGTAGGAAAACATGCACAACCACTTAAGGACCCTCAGGGTGATTCATCAGGGCCCTCGTGACGTTTCCTGACGCACGTTTAAGCCGAGCTTAATCTCTGGGGGGGAGCAGGACTGTCACTGGGGGATAATCGGGGTAAGCTTTGCAGAGCATATCACGCAGGATGAGCCATTTATACGGCGAGCGGCCATGGGTTCGCGGGGACCCACCCTGGAGTCTCGCACCAGGAGCTGGAACACACTATGCTCGTCCAGGCTCAGGTTGTCTGGCAGGGCCGGAGATGACGACTTGTCTGAGAGCTGCTCGGACCTCAGGGAGACCTGCTCTACCTCTGCCAGCCGGATCTGAGAAGCAGAGAGGGGGGTCATTAGGTTCCTCACAGCAGGACCCACAAACCTGATTGCCCATAGATACCCACAGGTCCCCCTGCTGGTCAGCGCCAGCAATACACTCTGCGCACTCTGCATGTCCGAGCATGCTGGATACCTCCTGCGGGTGGCGCCGGCAGTCCTTGCAGACCGGCGGGGAGGCGTAATGGTGGAAGACGGAGCCTGACAGGTTGTCGATCATCAACAGCTCACCCTCCAGGGAGTCTTTGATGAGCAGGGAGACACTGTCCAGCCACAGGCTCTCCTGGAACAGGAATGTGTGTGGTCGCAGTCAAGGTGTGGTCATGGCACAGTCTAGGTGCAGTTATGGTCAAGGGGTGGTCACAGCATGGTAAGGGTGTGGTAACGGCACAGTCAAGGTGTGGTAACAGCATAGTCTAGGGGTAGTAACAGCCCGGTCTGACCCCCCCCCCCCTGCCCCCCACCTTCACTCTCTAATCTCTTCTGGCTTTGGACAAACAAGGTTTTCATAAACAGGTAACAGTTTGACTTTTTAAGACTACTAATGTAACTCTAAATTATTTATAAATTATTTATTTATAAAATTATTTATTATTTATTATTTATAGTTTATAATTATTTATAATTATAATGTAATCCTCTAAATCATATAGATCACTTAAATGGTGTGATTGTGTTAAATGTGTAAATTCCAAAATCAAAGGCTGAGAGTAGGAATTTAATATCATGTTATCCCTCCTGTCATCCACGATGCAGCTTTACTGTACAATTTCCAGCCACTGCGAGGGCAAATTACTGCTGTTTGCAGTGAGGAAGGCGGGCTTCCCAGCCGGAGGGGTCCGGGCCGGCCTGCAGGTGACACTTTTTTTCTGTAGGTTTTTATTTCCTTTTTTTCAGAGCCAAGCCATGAGCAAACAGCAGGAAACTGCAGCAAAACAGCCTGGTGAATCCTCAGGTACTGTACTGTGTCAGTGCCAGGAAATTTAAGGTGGCCTGTCTCTCTGCCTGTCTTACTGTCTATCTGTACAGTATGTCTGTCTGACTCTCTCTGTCTTTGCCTGTCTCTTATGTTTGTCTGTCTGCTTGTCTGCCCGTCTCTCAGTCTGTCTACCTGTGTGTCTCTCACAAACTGCAGGAAGATACTGAATCATACGTAACTCAGTAATGGCGGGGAAGCCTGTGGGAGCCGTAGACTGACAGCCCTCAGTGACTCACTCCCGCCCCCAGATGAGCCTCCCCAGATCTCTCTTGGCGCTTAAAACAGGCCTCTGTCCTCAGGGACCCGGCCAGCCCCCGGCTCACACCAGCCAACGCCCTCTGCTTCCTTCTTCAGGAACGCATCTCATTTGCATCTCATTTCTAGTCAACTAAATGAAGGACTTGGACTGCACAACAGCGTGC